TCTTCCGAGTAAGCAGTATACCACTCGCTGGTCTTAGTCCATTGCTTAAACTGGTACAGACTACATTGAGCTGTGTATATGGCTGCAGCAGCTAGCAAAGATGGTGAAAACTTCAGCATTTTGCATTCCACCAAGCAAAGCTCGACCAAGAAGAAGGACAAGAGCTCCAGCTGGTACAGTTTCACAGATCCCACACTCGTTAGTTACTTTAGTGTTATAATCTTTAACTTTGCAAAATAGTGCTACATTGCTCACCTTTTTATCAGAATGAGCTGCCTTGAGATATCTTCTCATGAACACGTATGGAGTTGGCACAGACAACTTGAATTGCAGGATGTTCATCATTAATTTCTCCTATTGGCACATTTTGATTAGATGCATTTCTTAAAATTAACGGGAAGGTGAGAAAGAATGATAATGTACAAAACTGACTAACCATATCTAAAACTTCATTTCTTGTATACGCCTTGTCTGTTATCAGAATAAAATCCTCAACGGTAGGGACTGAGACCTCCTCGTACTTACAAGCTATTAGCATAGCTGTTACCCCAACTAACTGAAGTTTCTTTCTGATCACTGCCTGAAGCTCCAAGAACCTGTCTATGAGATTGACGGTAAGGAACAATGTCTCCTCCAAAAGTTCAAATTTGTAGTGAACCTGTTAAGATGCTTGCAGTCAAGCTTAAATTCAACACTTACAAGGAATTCCATTTCAAACAGACTTGCCACATTGACATGGAAATGAAACATAAATTATGTACCTCAATAAGCCAGTCAATAAGAATGGCCCTCATCCTCTCATTAATGTCAAGTTGACTAATCATATAATTTGGAGAGACGCAGCTAGAATTCTGCAAAAGAGCTAATGGGTCAACATCATGTGAGTTCTTCCATCAGATTTTTCAATCACTTAATTAACCAATCAAAACATAAGCCAAGAGGTTAGTCCCTTTTCACATTTTTCCATCTGATCTACGAGCAATCTAAAAATAAAAAAAATAAATAAAAAAATAAAAATAAAAAATCTGCCCCATTTCACAATATGTATGTGTTGGGGGGAGGAATGGAGGATTCTATGACTGTCCAAAATCACCAAGAATAAGTCTAATTAAATTGTAATTTTAAAGAATATGTTTGTTCTTGTAATGTACAAGAACAAGCCAAGGCATTAAATATCAGCATCCTAGAATCCTAGATGTTTCTTGTTTATAGATTTTTCTTGGCGATGAGCAAGTCTTACTACAAATTCAAATGTTACCTCGGTATCCTTGTAGAAACGGTAGAGATCATCTATGTACTCAACAACAGCAAGTGGATCTTTCCTATCACAGGCATCGATGTCCATAACAGGTTCCTCCACGTCTTCCATTTCAACTTCCTCCTGGCAAACATTAGATGCAAAGAGGCACACCACATTATGATGTTGTTCCAAAAAACGGAGATCGTGAGAAGATAAGACAAAAATACTTACAATCCTGTCAATTTCGTCGAGCATTGCTTCAGTATGCTTCACAAATACTGGAACTGCATTGTCACCGGCATCCTCATCATCATCGATATCTATGATGTCATGATCTAACTGGTAACTCGGTGTCGGGGCCAACAGGTTCTGTTTCTTAGTTTCCTGACATAGTCAACCCACTCAGTGTTTATTTCAATTTTCAAGACAAGTAAAAAGAAAAAGTCAAACGCATGAGGTTTGTGGAGAGAGTACTTGGGGCAGAGGGTGGTGATGCAGAACTGGGTGTGCTGTACACTTGCTGAATCATCAGAGAAATAAAAAAAAAAATGATGAATATATCTGAATTGTTAAAGTAAAAGAAAGGAGATTGATTTAAAATTGTACCGGGAAAGATCTGGTTTGTTGACATGAGAAGGGTTTTTGTTTGGCATAACATTGAGATTGATGTTGCCAAGAGGCAGCCGGTGATGAATGGGCTTCTTACTCTCCATTCTTGAACCGCCTTTGAAATTCAAGGAAAGGGGAAATTAAAAGCAATCAAATCTCATCATATCACATTCAATTAAAAATTGCAAATTCGCTTGAAAACCTTGAAAATTTGAAGAGGGTATGAGCGGGAGGCGGTTTTCCTTTGAGCTCTCCATTTGCTGTATGAAACCATAAGAAAATCAGAAAACTTGGAAAAAAGAAAACGAGCCAAGATCCGTGAAAAGAAGAGTAACTAAAATCAAGATGAAAAGCGAAGAAAGAAGAGAAGAGGGTCGGTGGCTCACGCTGCACCGAAGAAGAAGAATTGAATCTGAAAATGGAGTGACAGCAGAGCCAACACTGAAAATAAAAAGGAATGATGAAAAGCGAATTTGAGACGGTGATGTCGGGATTAACCTTCTTGTGAGGTGTGACGCTACTTGATACTAGCCGTTATCTTATCAATGATAACGGCTACTTACAATTTCAAATACAAATTATTTTCCAAGTATTTAAAACACTAAAGTATTATAGCATTAACTAGTTATTTTATTCCTACACTAATAAATAATATAATTACACTTGATGTTCGCATAATTTGACTGGGTATATATATATATATATATATATAAATATATAGTCTTAAAATGAACATAGAAA